CTGCTGCAAGAGAAATATGATTTACCTTAGCAGTTTCAATATTGAATCATTTGGTGATGTGAGTGTCATATGCCCAGTTTGCACTACTTCCACTCTCATCCAAAGCGTGCTTGAGAAGTTATGCTATGGAAGTGGAAATTGCAGAAAATGCAAAGAACAGTTGTAGTCTGTGCTGACAAGCTTGAAGATACAGTAAAGCTCTCTGACCTCAGATTCTTTGTCTGCTTTCTTCAAAGAATGCCCTGGTGTAAAGGCCTTTGTTTCTTCATTAATATGTATAGGTTTTGTCCCAGATTTTTCTGTCAGACTCCTCTGAGGAGCATTGTCTGCACCCGTGGATCCCATGGTTGGGATGCCTTCCCATCGTGTCTGGCATAGTCTGCTCTGACAGCTCATTCAGCTTGACTGCACCCTCCTTTTCGGTTCCTGCGCCAGCCCCAGGCTTGGGCCACCGTTGTGCTCAGAGTCCCCTGTTGCTCTGTAAGATGCTGGGAAGGCAGTCCTGCAACTTCGGCTGGGGGGCTGGAAGTGGGGTGCTCCCCAGGCAGATTGTTTCTGCTTGGTGCTGATGCCCAAATTCTGTTTGCCCTCTGCACCTTCGGTAGTGCAGTGCCAGCCACCACTGCAAGGCAAAATTACTTTGCATTTTGGGGAGCACAAATAAAATTTGTGCTAAATCCTAATAGGGTTTTTTTTTCCTTATATCTTTTGCAGTCTAATGCAGTCTCTGATGAGCTGGCCTTAAAGAGTGGGGCCAGACAAGAGTGTCTGTCAGCCACCCATACAGACAGCATCAGAACAGTTTTCCAGTCCCTGGGGTGTAATTCGAGCAAAGGAGAAATGCAGGAGAATGACCTTTTTAAGGCTGAATTTATCCTCATTACGGACTCTGGTGAAGAAGATGAAGTAGCTGCTGCCTCGAGCAACGCTCATCGGCCTTCCAATGGCTATGGTCCCATCAGCCCTCAGCTGCTGGCCACATCCCATGTTCCCCCTGGAATTGGGGCAGGAAAACCTCCTGGCGATGGGCACGTTCCAGGTGCTGCACTTTCCCACAACACTGCTGATCCGCAAAAACATCAGGTAACCTGTTCTTTAAACTCTGGAGCTAACCTTTGCTTTCTAAAGTTTTCAAGACATGAACACTGAGTCAGTTTGTAAAGCAGCTTGGCCAATTTATTTTTTAATTAACATTTTTGTTGGCCATTCCTGTCATGTTTGGACTCTAAGGTATTTTCCCAACCCTTCTGACTTGCTGCCTCTCTATGGCTTTGGTGTATACATGGAATAGGTAAAGCAAACCTATTGTTCTTTCCTTTAAGAGCAGCTCATCTCACAGCAAGTTAATCAGAAGATTTTAGATTCCTAGCTAGTCTAAATGGACTGAAATAAGTGGAGCCTGTAGATTATTTGAATTAGTAGCATCAGACTTCTCAGGCCTAGTTTTTGTTCTCAGCATGTGCTGTTGCAAAAAAATAAATCCATTATTCTGATTGTTAGTTAGCACTGACTTTGCACAAGTGTAAAGAACTAATGATGATGAAAGGTCCATTTTATGTTGATCTTTTTAGGGTACATTTATTGATTTATTTAAATTTTAAATTGTCACTGGGACAACTCAAAAAAGGTCTTTAAAATGTTTCATTTTCAAAATGCATCAATCCAATTTACTGCATGAAAAGTTAGTGTCTCCCATTTTGGAAAGAGCATAGATGGTTTTCAAGAGTGTACATGCAGTGGAAAACTCTACCTGTAGCAAAATCGCAATATCCTTCATACATGAAATAAATTCAGACATTTTCTTTGACCTTGACAGGGATTTCATAATTTGAAAATGCAATTCTTCATTGATACTTAAAAACATAAGATTTAAGCATGGCTACTTTGTCTCTGAAAATGAATAGGACTTCCTATGTTGTGCTGAAATACCTGTGGTATTCAATTTTTCATAAAATTCAATGTGAATATTTAATTGAGGAAATTGTGAATAATAAATCCACTCTGGTTTTGGATTCACAGCATTATGGAATATCCATTTCTTCTGAGAAACTCCCAGTGAAGTCAATTGAATTTTACCTGAGGAAGGTATAAAGTTGCAGATAAATCTGTGTAGAGGAAGCAGCCTATAAAAGAGTAACTGTCATTGGGAAATACAAATTTATTTCAACAAAGTTCAGTATACAGATTCTGCCAGGCTTACTTGGGTGGTTTCTTTAAAAGGTATTAAAGAAATTGGGTGGTTTTTTGTGAGACTCTTTAAAAAAAAAAAAAAAAAAAAAAAGCTGAAAAGCTGTAGCTTTCTTAAGCTTTCCTTCTTAAGGCTCCAGAGATTTTGTCAAGTTTTCCATAGTCTCCAGTGCTTCTTTCTGACTTTCTGGTTCTCAGGTCGCAGGCTTGTTAGGGAATTTATTTTTTCGTGTTATCAAATTCTACTGAGATCAAAGCATGGTTAACTGGCCCCAGGACCAGGTCTACATTGAATCAGATCTCTCAGACACGAGTTTTGCCTTTTGGCCCCTCAGTTTGTCACACTGTCCCTTTTCTTTTTGACCAGCACGTCTTAGGGCCTTGCAGGTATAAGTAACAACATTTTTTGTGCCCTTCCAAAGCAATGTGTGTTAGATGGGGCTAACACTGTAAAACTTGGTCCTTGGTGGACCACCCTGATCAAGATAAAAATGCATGTATGTATTTGTATTAGATGGGTATAACACTGGAACTGGTCCGTGGTGGACCATCCCAATTATCTGGAGTGAGTGTGCACGGCAGGGAGCCAGCAGGGCCACCTCTCCTGGCACAGGCTGGCCCCCTGTGTCGGGATGAGTTGGCACTTTCTGGCATATAGAAGGCCCGGGGTTCAAGAGAGATCGAGGAGGCAGATCCAACTACCTTTTATAGACAACTTTACCTCCACGGGGCCGCCCGCAAAAGTGGTGCCTGACACCCTGTTTCTACACCATGCACCTCGGAGCTGGCCTCCTGGTCATTGGACAAGTGAGTGGGTTGGTAAGAATCTGTGCCTAATCTATTCTTTGGTAGCCTTTAGTTATCTCTCTTTCTAGCTTGGTATATCTCTGTATTTTACATCTATTTTAAATCTTGTAATAAACTTTCTAGCAGTTTGGAGGGGGTGTGTGGCTTACGTTCCTTCTCCGCCTGGAATCCTTCAATCCCTGGAACACACTGTAATCTCACAAGATCACTAGTCTTGTACCCAGGGCAGCTCTGCCACTCCAAATGTGCTGAAGATCTCCTGGGCAAGGCTCAGTACTAGACTATGACCTCTTTTATATTTTTGGGATCATCATTCATGAGGCATCAAGATCTTTTTCAAGTTTCTCGATCCCTTTGTGCTAAGGTAACTTTGCCACCTATTTCAACTTTCTTTATACATTTTTAGGAAATGTATATCTGAGGTGCACCTAAGAAGAGAAAAAGGCTTGCAGTTGAATCACAGACCAACGAAACACAAAACTACTTTGGTCACTCACTTCCGTTGCACTAATCCAGTACAACTACAGAAGTGTTCTAAACCAGTAGAGAAACTGAACAATAAAAAAAAAAGGCAAAACAAATGCCATGGATCAAGTGATTATATCTCACCTCCTGGCACTGGTGAGGTTATACCTATAAAATCATGTGCAGTTTGGTGGCCAGTCAGCCCCAAATTCAACAGACATAAAGAAGGGAATGGGGATGCAGCACAAAGCCATAAAGGTGGCATGGGCACATATGAGCTGAGGCTGAGAGAGCTGGCTTTGTTGATTCCTATCAAGAGGCAGCCAAGGAGATATCTAGGCTTGAAGGGCCACAACTACTTGAAGGGCGTTTACAGAGATGACAGAAGCAAAATCCTGTCTGCAGTGGCAGGGGGGACAGCAGAGGGGCCAAACCAAACACGCAAACCAAAGCCTGGTAGGTCCCAGCTGGACACGTGGAGAATCTTCCTCACAGGGAGGTGGTGCAGCACTGATGCAGGCTGCCCAAGGGTGCTGGAGCCACCTCTGTTAGGGGCTTCAGAGACTTGGTGAGACAACCACAGATGATCTGACCTGCTGGTGTTGGTGACAGCCCTGCTCTGAGCAGGAGGCTGGACTAGATGATCTCAGGAAGTCACTTCCAAACAATTTTGATTATGATTCTTTGATCCTGTAAATAAGAGGTTGATCATCTATAGATGTAGTTAATACTGTAATACAATAGCAGAATCTCTTCAGAAGACTTGAATAATGGCTTAATTATCTCAGGATGTAAATGTTCAGTGGTGTTCAAACTGGAAGAAGACTGCTGCAAAATGTCTTTATCATATTCACAGGAGCAAATTTATCATCTGCTACCATGAATATTTTCCTAGCTGCTTATAAATCTTCTTTATTAATTTTTAATTAATTAGAAGTCATTGCACATCCTGCTCTTTCATTATGGAGTTTCATATTAGCTCCTCATTTTCTTTTAATCCATTTTCTTGGTAAGGAAGATTTATCTATTTTATTTTGGAATAGAGATTTCATTCCCTTGTTCTGCTTTGTTAGTTGATCAACATCCAGAACTTATTATTCAATTCAGGAGGCTACTCCAATATACCAGATGCACTACTATGCTGCTTTCTAACTTGTTAAATAATTTTATGTTTTGTGACATATTTAAGAATATTTTTTTCAGAATGATTAAAACTTGGTAAATTATTCTCACTTTCCAGTATTTTTTATTAATCAGCAGCTTTTTCAAATAGAGTTAAAATTTCTTAATCCAATAGAATTTATGGTACAATATAATTGATATTAATTTTCATATTCTGGTATTTGCCTTGTATACATCTATTGGCTTTCCACTTCGAAATGGGACACCTTAATGCATGTATAAAATAAGGGGAAATCAGTGTGGTTGTAAAGGCATTCTGATTGTTGGTATTTATTTCTATAAATCAATGCATAGCTTTTGCTTTTCTGACGGTATCTTATACAGATAGTATCTTCAGTTTACAATGCTTTCTGTTTATAGAGCATTATTTAGCAGGGAGAGCTCACTTATTTTAAGTTACAAGGCCTAATAGGGTTCTGATCTGAATATATAGCCCATATTTAGCCTTTTATGTACAGGTTAGCTCTTAAAAGTCTCTAAAAGTCTTGTTCTTCTGTTACAGATTCTTCCAGCATGTGCCTCTCACTTTAAAATTATTTGATTTCTTCTTATTTTTGTTTTGTGATGTATTAATACTATGTAACATAACAATAATAACCATAATAATCATAATAATAATTCCTTTATCTTATAGAAAAGATATTTTTATTAAAAAAAAAAATTCATAACCTGAGCCAGAACATCGCGCAAGTCATGTCTGTAGGAACTAAATGGTATAATTGTTTTTTATAGAATTGCATAATATTTTCAGGGTATCAAACAGTAAATAAATAGGTGGGTTTATATTTGTATGAAGTTTGTAAGGATTAGAGTAAATGTCCTCACTTTCAAAATGATCAGTCTAAAGTTAGGTGATAATTTGTAGCCTTCTGGTTTTACAGTTGACTTAGCTCGCTATTTCATACTGATATGTTTTATTCATATTGTGTATACCCCAGTTTTTAATTTCAGCATTATAAGGACCTGGAAGATTTTGAGAGAATTTCTTTCTTTAGAAGCATAAAACTGTATAAAAAGTTGATAATATACTTGTACACTCTAATTAGTTTTGACAAATCCTAATTAGAATAGACCTAAGAAAAAAGGCACCCATGAAAGAGATCATTATTGTTTTATTAGTGTATTGTAAGACTGTGGAAAAGGGGATAAGGGCTTTTATATGCCTGCAAACTGTCAAATGCACTGCTCTGTGAATGACAAGAAAAGTGAAAAACGAACTGGATGTCTGATTTAAGTAGTTCTGAGCAAATTTCTTGTTCCGATATCACAGTACTTCAGAAGGTATTGTTTACTGAATAAGAAAATGAATACTTGACTTGAATCTCATTCACAGAAAGACTACTTTCCACTGAACTGGTAAAGTGAGATGGGGCAATATTGCATTCTTCTCACTTTCTGTTGTGATTATACAATGTGAATGGTATAATATGATTCTGGACACT